TCCTCCTGCACATGGGGTAAATATTCTCCTGAGGTTCAGTCAGAGGCTCTTACGCGTGCCCGTGATACACGCGCCCATGACTAGGTCGGTTATTGATTCCTCGAAGTGATCGACCTGTTGAGGTCGAATAGGTTGCCCAATCAGGTATCTGCTCGAGCGACGGATTGCTCGATCGTCTTTCGGGTCGTGTGATGGACTGGTCGACCACCTGCTTGGTCGACTGTCTGAATGATCGGTCCTCCTGCTTCTTGTCTTGGTTTCCTCTTAGTTTGACCCTCTCGACCGGTTGAGCAGACTGGTTTAGCCTTGTGTATATAATATCCCATATCACTATCTTTTGGAGCATATTGGTAAGCTTTGTAGTAGTCAAAGTGTCCAAGTTAGTGAGTAAGTGGCAATTTTCTTGAGTGTGTTAAGCCATCATAAAAAAAATGTTGTCGTCAAATACTATTTTAAACGATCTGTGAAACCATTAGCAAGATATTTCATAAAGTGCTTAAAGTTGTGTTGTGCTTATACCCAATAACCGTAGTGCAACCTAAACCTGTTGATGATTCAAGCAGTGATAAAAGATGGAAATGGTTTAAGGTAAGTAATAATAGTTAAAACAACCAAAAAAAAAAAAGATATTGATTTCTATGTACAATGAACGTTGTATGATGTTTTTTTTTATTTTAATTATACCGTACAACGATGCTTGGGGGCATTAGATGAAACTTATATTCCAGTACGTGTCCCTAGTAAATTGCACCCGATATATAGAAATACAAAAGGTAGTGTTTTTATAAATGTCCTAGGCATATGCGATATGGATATGAATTTTTCATACGTGTTGGTCGGTTGGGAAGGGTCTACTACAGACAGTAGAGTTTTAAAGGACGTTGTACAACGGGGTGGTGGGTTACGTGTTCCTACGGGTAAGACTTTCTTCATAATTATTAATGTTTTAGATTCAAGAACAATTAGCACAAAATTTGAAGCATTTAAAACTCGGACACGTGTTTTATAATATTTTTATGTTTTTTTTTTTTGTTTCATAGGTAATTACTATCTTTGTGATGGTGGGTACACAAATGCTCCGGGATTTCTAGCACCGTTTAGAGGCGTGCACTATCATTTGGATGGAGAAGGTCCTCGAGCACCTAGAAATCATAGAGAATTATTTAACCTTCGACACGCTAGAGCAAGAAACGTAACTGAAAGGGCATTCAGAGTATTGAAGATGATATGGGCCGTCCTTAAGAGTAAAACATATTTTGTCATAGTTACTCAAATAGAGTGATTTTGGCTTGTTGTCTCCTTCAAAACTTTCCGTACTACCATGAATAATGATCCAGTGGAAGTTGAAGATGATGATTTTCTTAACGAGACAAACACTGAAGAACCACTACATCCACCAAATGACTATGTCGATGTTGTTGAGCCTACTAATGAGTGGACAATATGGAGGGAATCCCTAGCTATTTCAATGTCTAATGAGTGGCGTGGCGCCAATTGAAAAAAATATGATTTTTTGTTTATTTTATTTTGGATTGGTTAAGTTTTCTAGTATAGAAACTAATGTGAGGCATCATCATTTCATGTACTTGCTACACATGCTTGATAAAAAACTACGTTCACGTTTGAGCCATTCAAGATCATTTTTATGTTCATGTTCTAAATTGTTTCATTTCAATATATGCATGTAATGATTTATTAGTATTCTCATACTAATACTATTGATACTTATTATTTCATTTTTTATTGTGACGGACTCTACAACTAGCGTGGGACGTGGGCGAAAACAAAACAACCAGCGTCGCACTTGGACGTTTGAAGAAGAACGTGGACTAATCCAAGGATTGAAGGATCTCATCGCGCGTGGATGGAAAGCCGACAATGGTTTTCGTTCGGGCTACACAACTTTTCTAGAACAACACATGCGACAACAGTTTCCTGGGACAAACATTAGATTCGAGCCGCATATTTCATCAAAGATTACATTTTGGAAAAACAATTATTTTTTACTGGTACCACTACTACAACGGACTTCTGGTGTATGGTGGTCTGAAACAGGACAAATGCTAGAAGTTGAGGAATCGGTGTGGCAAGATTATATCAAGTTCTGCATTTTCCATCGACTTTTCTCTTTTATGGTTTTGTTCATTAATCATGATCCCTCTTGATAATGACTTGTAAACTATGTTATTCTACACAACCAACATTAAAATCTAGGTCTATCCAAAACCGAAACCAATGCGGAACAAGCCGTGGCCATTTTACATCGATTGGGTAGACATTTTTGGAAAGGATCACGCAACTGGTGATGGTGCAGAAGGTTTGCAGATGCGGTCAAAGAAGTCCTTATTAATACGGGTGACGATGCCCCCGCATAATTCAAGGCATGGCAGGATTGTTTGTAGCTTTGAAGCGACTGAGAATGAAATGGAGTCTTCTTTGCCACCGGGTGTTGAGAGTAGTGCCTCTAGAAAGGGTAAACGTGTTGGCAAGCATAAACGGTTTTTAGATACGGAGGACCAAGTTGTAGGGTTGTTATCCACATTGTGCGAAAATGCTGACAAACGATTTTCTCAAATGTTAGAAAGGATTGGGTTCCAGCACGATGCAAAGGAGCAACACAAGGTTTTGTACGAGGCCTTGAACTGTATGCCGGCATTGAGTACCGAAGAACTTGATGGTGACGAAGTACTATTGTAAGAACAGTGAAGAGATGGACGTATTTTTTAGCCCCGATGACGACGCAAAAGCTTCGGCGGTTTAAATTGATCCTCGAAAAAAGATTATAGTTTGGAATTATATAAGTTATTTAACTGGGTTGTCATGTACTACTTTATGTTTTGGTTGGACCTTTGCGTACTCTATTTTCCTCATTTGAGATCATCGTTTTGGGGTGAATTGTAATGACATTTTGCATGCTACGTACGTTATATATTTTGAATTGGGAAAAGCTTCTTTTTATTTGTGTCAATTTAAAATTCTCAATTACAAAAACTTTAGTTCTTCTCAGGTTTTCATTGTGGCGCTTTTAAAAAAAATCGAGAAAGACTGATCATATACTATGCAGCTTAAAGAAATACTTAAATTGCAAAAAACCAAGGGTCGAACAAATAACTTATCAAATACTATGTTGTTGTATAAAACTTGTTCTTCTATTTGCAAGTCCGACTATATTTTATTATTATGTATATTTCTGCAAAAACGATTTCAAAAAAAAAAAACAAAACAAAACAAAATTAGATTAATTACAAAATTTTAAATATTCGTCCACATGTTTGTCAGTTCAAGGGAGCATAATGCTTGCCTTCATAGACATAATTCTCCAAATATGTTTGATAAAGAAAATGAAAGAAGTAGAATATTCATCAACATTTTGACATCATACCGTATAACAACAAAAAAAAAAGGAGCGAACTTGTAATAATAAATTACAAACAATGCACCAACTGCCCCACCCACCTACCACTACTAGTACCATATTCATTTTGTAGCATTAAAAGTAGAGATTATGTACTAAACTATCACTTCTTATTACATGAAATGAAGGCTAAATTAATGACACCTACCAAAGGAGATCTACCACATATCCGACTTTAATTTTGGCATATAAAATTTGTTGAAGTGAATCTAATTGTAGAAAAACAGAACAATCACATCTAGGTATATTTCCTTTTTTTTTTATTCAAAATTGCACATCTATATGAAGTGCATAAAGGTGTTTTTATCTTCTCAACCTCATATATTTTTTTGTACTTACAGCAACCACGTTATTACGCTCATCAATGGATCGTCATGCACACATGCTACGTGTCGCGGTGAGGTATTGAGTCCCCGGATGGTCGGTGAATGAAGAGAGGGAGTGCTATCAACATTTCTTCAACCTTTGTCGTCAAACTCCCGATGTCAACAGAACTGAGATCTTCAACTCGTTATGGCCACAACTTTTCGAACAGATGACATACTTCATGCAAAAATATTTATCTATGGTGAAGGTTAGGGCAAAGATCAACGCACTCCACACCTACTAGCGAGAGTTCATCACGTATCTTGACATTCCAGGCGTCAATGTCATTGCCAACTAGGGTCTTGTTACTGTGAATACTACGTATGGGCATACGTCGGTCGTGTGTGTTTTGTGATTTTATTTTATATATATATATATTTTTTTTTTAAAAAAAAAACTTGTGGCCTGATGCATGACAAACCCTTATTTGTGTTTCTCTTATCGATTTGTCGTTGCTTTGTCACATTTCACTCATAGAAAACAGATATCGAATCCTTCTTCCGTCATGTGGGGTTTCCATTGTACGACGACTGTGTCAATCTGTGGGATTTGAGAAGGGCGGCTGATGTGTACATGCATGGATGGTCCGACGCAAGAATGGATGGCCGATCATGTTTGATGACACTGATGAAAGCGATGGAGCTGATGATGACACTTATTGGGTGGCTGATATGGACATGCAGGGAGGGCCCGGTGCAAGAATGGATGATCCGATCATGTATGATGATACTGATGAAAACGATGGAGCTGGCGATGACCCCTACGGGGCAGACGGGGCGGAGGACATCTATGGAGTTGCACTTTGATGTGCATGCACGCCTTGATGAGGCTCCAGGAGGAGATCACCCAGGAGCCGAGGAAGATGATGATGAAGTCATCGAGGTCCCTGCCCCAGTAGAGGTCATTGACATAGAATCCAGCGATGAGCCCGATGATATGGAGATGGAGTCGGATGAGTCTTGCTTAGACTCAAACAATACAGAAGTCGAACTTATGTTTTTACTATATTATGGTGTGTGTAGTAGTGCTATTAGGCAGTTGACATCCTTCAGTGCTTTATGCGTGTGTGTTGGTATTATGATTTACAAACTAGAACATGTTTTGGGTATCTTCATGATCGTTTTGGGTTATGTTCGACATATCATATGGGGCATAATTTTGTTGTTGTAAAATAGAATGCCTTTGATAATCATATTTTGTTCAAGGAGTAGTTTTCAATCCACCACTCCTACTTATGGGACCATTTCTGTAGCACTTGTTTTGGTAAGGGAAAAAAGTAATGAATTTTAATAAGTATTTTTCTCCTAATTGTACAGTTTCTTATATGTACACAACACTTTAAAAGTCCACTCATCATTAATACACAACACGAAAATGAAAAGGTAAAAATTCAATTATTCAACTACTAACTCGCCCATCACTTAACAATGTATATCAATAATTTGGATTGATAGTACAAAAATCTATACTTAAGTTGTTGGAATTTTCTGTGGCCCAATATTAGGACTTGCAATACAACCAAATGCAAGAAAATATTTTATAAACCAACATTAAACACTAAACATGCATACAAACATTAAGAAGCAAGGTACATAATAACATATTAAACCATAGACTTTCTAACATACAACACAATACACACAAAAAACAGTAAGCCATAACAGATACATATATTAGACGCATATGTTGTAAATATTTTTACCGGAGTAGAATCGAAGGATTCGAACACCGGGTCGTATCACAAGGAAGGTTAGCCGGATTATTTTTACGGATATTCTATCACAAGAAAAGAGAAAAAGAAATCCTAAACATTCTATTCAAGATTGATGGTTTGTTTATCGACTACTAATTGAAAAGCAAGCAATTGAAAAGGCTAAACAAAACTAGGAATCACAAGTTTACAACTTAATACTCAAACTCAATTTATGATAAAAGAGCTAGGTATCGGGGTCAATCAATTCCGGTTCTCAATACACTTAAAGAGAAATCAAGAGCTCGGTTAAATGTCTCACTAAACTACTCATCTAGAGATCTATCCTCAATAACTCTTCGTAACAAGAGGATAGACATAAACGAGTAATTATTGAAACAATCAACACATAAGCAATACTATTACGAACAAGCTTATTCCTAACGAGCCTAGATCGAATGATTTCTCCCTTTTCAGTTTTAAAATCGATTAATTAGATTAAGATGGTGATCAAACATCAAAACCCTAGGCTAACCACAACTCGAGAGGATTGAGCAATTATCATGCATATAAACGAAATCAAACCGAAACGATCTTCCCCTAACCCTAGCTAAAGGATTTAGCTACTCATAATGCATTCAACATCAACAAGTACAATAATCAAAGCCATTCAATCAATAAGAAAATAAAATGAAAGCTTATGATTAATGAATCCAATGTTGAAAACACGAATAAACCAAATCCAAAAGTCGAATCCCAGAGTTTTTCTCTCCAAGATCGAATACCCAGATCAAAAACAAGAGAAAGTATGAGTTTTTGGGTCCAAGTACCAAGAACTATCGAAAACCTAGCTTAAAACATGAATGCCCCCATTTCAAAAGAAATCTGATATTAAAATTCTGAAATTCGCGGTGCCCGCGGCCGCGGACAAGCTCGTGGGCCGCGGTGAAGTAATGGTCCGCGGCCGCGACTTATCCCGCGGCCGCAAAAGTTCGACTCTGTCCACTGGTTCGCTTTCTTCGCGCTCTTCGCTGCCGCGGTGAAGAAAACAGGCTCTGGAAGGTTTTTTGCACACCGTGGCCGCGGGAAGACCGTCGCGGGCCGCGGTGAAGAAATTTCAGCTCAGAATTCAGTCGACCCCACACGCATGCCTTCAGACTCGGGGTTTAGTTCCGCCTTTTCCTTCTCAAATCGATCCCAACTTTAAGACAACGATCACCTCACGGCTGCTTACCGAACCACCTAACCTGCATATTGCCACCAACAAGAAAAACGCAGAAAACCGGGAAAAACAAACAAGAAAAACAAAAAACGAGCAAAATAAAGGAAACACACGACACGACACAAATGGACCAAGAACCAAAGATAATAACCTAGAATGGAGAAAAATAAATGCAAAATAAACAAGGAAAACACGACAAAAATCGAACGAACAACTCCCCCACACTAAAACCATTGTTCTCCCGAACAATAAAAAGAAAAGAAAAAGCAATAAAACAAGTAAAAGAGTGTGGACACCGGTTTCAAACGAGAAAAGTCTCAAGTTGATCAACTAAGCTAAAAAGAATTCCAATGACCTCGAGAACACACCTTGACAATGAACTCAATCACATGATAACACAAACTCTCTAGTACGGAGATATGATATAAATGTCTCACTCATTTTCTTGCGAAAATAAAAGACAGGAGCACTCAAATTGGTCGTCAGTCAAATCGATCATACGCTTGCCTATCGTCTAACCCCTACTCTAAATCAATCAAATCAATGAGACAGTGAATCAAAAGGACTTTTATGGACGTAACTTAGGCTTAATAGGTCGGGTAAGATAAATATAGGTCAAGTGGCTCAAATATAGAATAAATAACAACTCAGCACTTCAACCATACTCAACAACTCCCCCGGTCTCAACCGGTTCTCTAACCTTCACCAAAGCCAACTCACTTCCACATTATTATCATCAATTTTTTTTTTTGAAACCTTATGGACATCTTATCTAGGTTTAGCCATCGGGTTTTCTACCCGAGTCTCCTAGACCGGTTTTCCGTACTCATTGCTCGTGACTGGTAAACGGTTGGAGCACTTAGAGTATAATCCGTTAGGTTTTTTTTTTGGCACAACTTTGATAATCATCACCATCCATTTTCCAAACATTATCAACACGGGGTCAACAACGAAAATAAGAAGTAAGGCTCAAAGGGGTGACTAGCGAAAATTATTCTCGAAAGAAGAAAGAGGGTACACAAATAGCAAAGAATGCCTTAATCATGTTCACCTATCACAAATCCAATAAACTTATTTCACGGCAGACTCAAGGCAAGTTCTTATTTATTCAACATTCAGACCAATATCTCACAAAAAAAGAATGTGGCTAAAATCTCACCGGGTGTATATGTATGAGTGTTAATCAAAGCAATCGAGCCACAAATCAAAATATGCCACCCAAGATCATCATCACAACTTCCCAACGTCATTAAACAACCATAAACCAATCTCAAAATTCACCAATGTCCATCTCAGAAGAACAAATAAATCTAAACTAGACTGGTCCACGCAACAGAAAAGAAATAAAAACAACTCTAAAAAGAAAAACTAGACATGGTTTACCACATAGTCATGCAAGCACGTAAACTCCCCCACACTTAAAATCAGACATTGTCCCCCTTGTTGATTCGCAGTGAAAGAGAGTAGACCATATAATTAACCGACACGAAAAACACACTCTATACAAAAAATGAAAGAGAAGAGGGAAACGCTAACATACTAAGCACAGTGACAAGTCACTGTGCGTCCGGTGGTGGCGGTGGTGGGTAAGGCTGACTAGGTCCTGAACCCCAACGGTTGTCCCACTGGGTGAACCTCTGATCCCAGCTGTCCAATCGAGAATCCTGCTAGTCCTGCCACTCTCGAATAGACCGGAGGCTATCACTAAAGCCATCGAAGCGCGTGTCCATCTGAGTCCAGTGGGTCTGCTGCTGGGTCTCCCAATGATCCCACTGAGTCTTTTGTTGGGTCTCCCAGCCGGTCCACTGTGCCACTTGTTGGGTCTCCCA